CCATACATGTGGGGTCACACAGCTGTCTGGCAGAGCCAGGCTCAAGCCCAGGTCTCTAGCCAAGTTCAGAGATACTCTGGTCTTGAGTTAGCAGACGTTCATTGTGCACCTACTGTGCACAAGCGGACAGGTTATTGTAAACTTAACAGCTGCCAGATGCAGCCCTCACCAAGCTTGGAACTCAAGGAAGAAAGCAGATGAGGTGTGATGGGGACAGATGGGGGCTTGGCAGGGGTCAAGGAGTGGTTAGGAGAATGAGGTCTAAACTAACACCTCAATGGTGAGGGAGTGAACCCCCTGAGGAGTCTGCGTGATGATGCACAAGGTGGAATTAGAATGTGCAAGGGCCTAATAGCAGAAGACCAAAGGCTGTGGGTGGCTGAGGGATGAGAATGGAGCATATCTCCCTCAGAAGGCAGTAGCCTGGATGTGGGACCAATCTGTGGGCCCACTTCTGCCCCTGCCCTGCAGGGATCTTGGTAAGTTCTGTCTTTACCTCTGGGCCTCAGTTTCCTTCCCCACCCTGCCTACTCAGAGCCTTTTGTCATAAGGACCCAGGAGAGGTGGGAAGGATGCACTAGGAGAATGAACCTTAGGACAGGGTGGGGCTGGGCTACAGGTACATCTCCCAGACAGCCTTGAGCTGGGCTGACTCCTGTGGGCTCTGTGGAGATGGGAGCACGAGGCTCTGAGTGCCTGACAGGGGAGGGGAGTCCAGGGACTGGGTGAAGGCAAAAGGAGACTTCCAGGAGAGGTGACACAGTCTGATAGGGCTGATGGAGATGATGTAGAGCACGTCTCACACAATAAGAGTGGATAACAGAGGAAGACCCAAAGGTGGGCAAGAGCCTTGCATGCTTGGAGCCAGCAAGAGAAACCTCCCAGGGGACTTGACCCTCTGGGCAGCTTCTAGGGGTTGGAGCAAGGGGGCTGCCAAGAACCTACCCACCCTCTGAGTGGGTACAGTTCCCGCCTCCAATTTACAGACAAGAAATCAAGGGCCAGCAGGGAAGCCACTTATGCAAGGAAGCCGGGATTTGAACCTCGGCCAGGGCTCCAAGGCTCTGGGAGTCAGGTTCTGATGGCTGCTTGGAGCCCCGCAGGCATGCCAGTGGGTGGGCCTAGCCCTCTTCCCTCTCCCCTCTCCCCCCAAACCTGATGGGACCTCCAGCTGCCAGAGCTGGTCCAACGCCCCCCCCCGCCCCCATCCTCCCCCCGTCCGCCCTTCCCCACCCCCACCCCACCCCCCCCACCCCCCAGCCGCCCTCTGCTGCCTCAGCCCTTCCTACTGAACCACCAGGCCTGTGTGTTTAGCAGTTTCCACACGTCCAGCGCCCGGGGATGGACTGATTGATCTGTAACACCGAAAAAATAATAATGGCTTGATCGTTACCGAGGATTAAAAGTAATCCTTTCGCCGTGGCTCTTGCAACTCCGTTATTCACGAGTCAGCGGGCTGACCTGGGCCTTCGAGCCTATGGGACTCCATGGATTCAAGGAAGCTAGGGGCTAGGCAACCCCCCAACCCTGGGTCTCCCTCACCAGGCCCCCCTCACCTTGGCTGCTCAGCTAGGGAGCCAGAGGGCCTGCAGCCCCCATGTTCCTCTGGCCTGTGAAGCCCAGAGACAGAGCTGAGCCCTGAGAGGGTAAAGGAGCTGGCACCCCTGGCCAGCAGGGAAGGTGGCTGCAGGAGAGGACAGCCCCTCAAGGCTGTGGCCCAGTTGGAGACTTCAACTGGTGCAGTTTGGTGTTTGTAGCCCCATCAACCCTGTGGCTTTTCTGAGGCAAGAGGCCTGATTCTGGTTATTCCCACACCCTGCGCTCGCCTCATCCCCCATGAAGGGCAGTGGCCTCAGTGGAGCCCTTCACTCTAAGAAAGGTCTGGGGTCCCTGGGAAGGTCACAGGCCACAGGGTAAGGAAAAGGGCCGTGAAGTGATTGCCCAAGGCTCACCCCTCAAGGTGTGGCCCCAGGGGCCGTCCCTAGGCCTCATACCCTCTCATCCAGGCCAGGTGCTAAGCTTGCACCCTAGTAGATGCTCAGTTAACAGTAATAACAAGTGTTGTGTCATGTGTGTCACACAGTAATGTCCTCTACAAAAGAACATGGCAGGATTGTGAATCAGGGGCCTCACCCATCCTGGGAGTTGGGGTCAGGGTAGAGGCGTTTGTTGTTTAGGCTGAGAAGAGGCCCCAGGATGGAAGTGAGCGCAAGTGCACCCCTCGGGAAGGCAAGAAAGACTTGCCTTTTATATGCAGAGCCATGGGAAGCTGCTAAAGTGCTTCAGGGCAGGAGGTAGCCTCAGGATGAGATCCACATTTGGAGAATAGATGACAAAGGGCGAGAGAGGACACAAGAGCCTGAGGGAGGGACAGAGCCTGGGCTGGAGACGAACAGTAGGCGGTTTGAGTGATAGCACAGATGAGATATAGGCAGCAGGGATTCCAAGACGGATGGGCTCATTCCGAGAGGAGATGGTATGAGCTTAGTGGGCCTGAGGGTCACCCTAGGAAGGTGTTCAGGACCTTAGAGGGGGTCAGGATTGGAAGCAAGATATGGAAGGTATCTAGGAGTAGAGACCTGTGGTCCCTGAAGCTGGGTGAGGGGGGTAGGGGCCCCCCAAGCAGGCACCGCAAAGCAGGTGGGCAGAGGATGGAGCCTACAAAGAAGACAGGTTGGGTAGCAAGAGAGGGGATCAGAGTCCAGGAAGGGCTCAGCATTATAAAGTGAGGGGGTTTGACTTCAAGAGGGACTTCCCTACCCTGTCCCCAAGACCCCCAGCCTAATAGTCTTCCTAGCATCCAGTGCTCTTGGCTGGAGGAAGAGGGGGAGCTAGGCCCAGTGGGAGTAAGGATGGCGCTGGTCAGCCCATCCTGCCAGAGGAGGCATCCTGCCCCAGACAACAGAGGCCACAGCTCTGCAGGCCGTACCCCACCACCACAACTGTTACATGCTGGGAGGGAGGAAAACTGGTCTCCTGGGTCCTGATCCCCATTTCCCCATCATGAGCAGCTGGCAGGCTTTGTTAGAATCTCCCCCACTGAGGTCCACGTGCCACACCAGGCCTGGACCAATGGACAGGGGGTATGTGTCCTAAATACCAAGAGACCAGGGCCTTCTGAGTAAGCGCTGGAGGCCAGGAGGCAGGACCCCACTGCTCCACCCATAGGATGGAATGGGGCAGGGATGGAAAAGCACAGCCCCTACTCTACAAGAGTTGCCCTGCTCCTCACTGGGCATCGTGGAATGTACCTTCAGACCTTGGTCATGGGCTGGGTAACACAAACGTGGCTGAGGGGCGCCTGGGTGGTTCGGTTGGTTAACAGTCGACTTCAGCTCAGGTCACAAACTCATAGTTCGTGAGTTCAAGCCCCAGCATCAGGCTCTGTGCTGACAGCTCAGAGCCTGGAGCCTCTTCGGTTTCTGTGTCTTCCTCTCTCTCTGCCCCTCCCCCGCTCACACTCTCTCTGTCTCTCTCTCAAAAATAAACATTTTCAGGGGCACCTGAGTGGCTCAGTTAAGCATCAACTTTGGCTCAGGTCATGATCTCACTGTTTGTGAGTTTGAGCCCTGCATCAGGCTCTGTGCTGGCAGCTCAGAGCCTGGAACCTGCTTTGGATTCTGTGTCTCCCTCTCTCTCTGCCCCTCCCCCACTCATGCTCTGTCTCTCTGTGTCTCAAAAATAAATTAACATTAAAAAATTTTTTTAATAAATAATAAACATTTTCTTAACTAAAAAGAAAAGACAATGTGGTTGTGAAGGCCAAACTCAGAGCCCCAGCCTGACCCAGACTATGTGACCTTGGAAAGGTTTCTCATTGTCTCCCTGCCCAGGTATCCTCATCTGAGGAAGACATGAGCAGTGACAGGTACACATGCTGTGTCACCAGCCTGGTGGCAGGCTTGGTATGCAGTAAGTGACCAGTTCACTGTAACAGTCGTCAGTATGATTAACAGGACTTCACTGCACTTAGCTCCACAGGAGGCCCCAGAGGGCCATCTTCAGGAGCTCCAAGAGTTCCTGGAGGGACAGAATCCATGGAGGTGCAAAATAAGAATCTCTGGGCAGCCAGGGTTCAAGCCCTGAGGGTGGCAGAGTACCAATGCCTCTTTCAGGAAGCCCTCTATGACATCCCGAATTCCCACAGCACTAAGCTTCCTAGAAGCACTTCAGCTACTCCTGCTCTGGTTCTACCCAGTTTTGTGCCTGTTTCCTCCTCTAAATTGTGAGACGACAGGGCTGGCTGGCCTGCCACATCTCCACACATCAGCATGGTCTGGTGCCAGGCGTGGTTGGTAACAGGGTGTGGGATAGAAGGACACAGAGCTGTGCTCACAGGCACAGGGGCCATGATGGAGGAGAGTGCAGGAACCAGCCCCAAAGGGTGGGCCAGGCTTGTGTGGAGAGAAGGCTTGGAGAGCCTTGCTGGGAAGGGGCTCAAGAAACCAGGACAGGGACAGTGGTAGGGGGCCTGGGTGGGCAGAGGTGTGCTAGGGGTACCTCCTGTTGGGCCCTGAGCAAGCTGGGGACAATGACACATCGGCAAGGCACTCTGTCACTTGTGGCAGTTCACCCTTGACTAGGGAGGGCCTCCTCTTGGCACTGGAGTGACACTGGTTTGTTGGAGGTAGAGTGGCAGTGGGGCTTGACTCCAGGGCCTGAGGCCTACTACATCCCAGGGGTCCCCCTGCCATCGTGTGGGCAGGAGATGTGCCTGGGCTAAAGTACAGGGAGTCTCATAGAGATGTCACAGGGAGATACCACTCAGGTCACTGTGCAGGCTTCACCTGTCCTATGTGAACCCAGCTGTGGGTGGGGGAAGAGCCCCCTTCTCAGCAAGCTGAAGAAGGTCTGGGGCCAAGGAATCTCTGAGGGTCTGGCAGGATGGGACAAGGGAGTCCGTGAGCCAGCCTGGACCCAGGGAGTACTAGGGATGGAGAAGGCTTGGGCTGGGCATGAGTCTTCCTCAGCCTCTGACCTCCCTGTGCTCTGTTCCTCAGAGATTGGCCGACGCTGCAGAGAACTTCCAGAAAGCCCACCGCTGGCAGGACAACATCAAGGTAAGAACTGCAGTGCCCTCCCCAGCCCCTACAACCTGCCCACCTCCAGCAAGGACAGATGTGAATATGGGGGAGGGGGCGCTGCCCAGAAACACTGGAGGGGCACTGAGAGCTCTGTGGAGTAGAGCCTGGAACCTTTGTCCAGCATTCAGCAAACATTTGAGGCTCCCCTTGGTGCTGGGAGAGAGGGTGCAGCTATGAACCTCTCACTCCACCCCAGAGGAGCTATGGAGTCCCCCGCGGGCAGACATGCTGCTCTAAAGTGATGCTCCCCAAAGTTGGTGTTAACCTTGGTGGTTAAGGATGTGCCCAGACTCTGGAGAGAACCTAGGGCAAAGAAGTCCCTTGACTCCAGGACTTTTTAGACTTTAATACGCTGACTTGGAAGAGTCACTGCGGGAAGGGGACAGAGTTCCCTGTCTTCCAGGAGGCCATGAGCCTAGGATAGGGGACTAGGCTGTCACAGCCACAAAAGCCCCTTCTTCCACCAGGAGAGCTCAGAAGGAGCCCAGGTGCCGAAGGAGTGGAGGGGTGAGAAGCTGGTGATAGGTCTCTTCTTGAGGGTGGAAGGGCCCAGAATGTGGAGGAGGGAAGGGAAGCCTCACTGCCCCCCAGTTTCAAACCCAGGTAACCCTCACAAATTCAGGCAGCTGTGTGTGATTTGGACTGAGGCTGGATATACCGGCACCATTACTGTGAAGCCAGCATCTCAGAGGGTCACAGTAAGCCAGAAGGTAGACTGAGGCAGGGTTCCTCCCAAACTCAAGGAACCTCCCATGCCAGGGATGATGGAACGCTCAGGGACCAAGCCAGTTGGTGGTGCTCATGTGTCCTCCACAGCTGCTCAGACCTCTGAGCCATGCCTCCTGGTGGTCTCTGCCAAACACTGGAAGAGGCACCAAGAGCTGCCTGCTGGGACCCAGGGACCAATAAGGGGCGGGTAGGCCCTTGCCACTGCAGCTCTGGGCCTGCCACTTCTGGGGGACAGGTGGATTATTATCCCTACTTAAACTGATGAGACCACTGAGGCACAGGGTGGTTAGACCGGCCTGACATACCTGTTGATGGCAGAGATTCACAGCTGGGCTGCCAGATACCAGGGGGTTCATGTCTATGATCCAGGCCCCCTCAACCTGTCTGTCCTCCTCCCTGGTCCCCATCTCTCCAGGCCACCCTGAGCCTTGCCCACACCATGGCATTCTTCCTTTGCTGCCTGGTGGGTATTGGCTGCTACCCTTAGGGAGCTCATGTGGGGTTGGAAGTAACAGATGATTTTTTACAGTGAACACATAAATGAGCTGATGACTCCTTGGACTGATCCCACCACCCCAGGAGCTCAGGACTGGCCCATCTCTCCCTCCCTTTCCAACACCACCACCCCACAGGACCCACGGGTCCCCGTGCCACCTCAGCCCCTTGATCAGAAATATACATGGTAGGGGCGCCTGGGTGGCTCAGTCAGTTAAGCGGCCGACTTTGGCTCAGGTCATGATCTCATGGTCCGTGAGCTCGAGCCCCGCGTCGGGCTCTGTGCTGACAGCTCAGAGCCTGGAGCCTGTTTCAGATTCTGTGTCTCCCTCTCTCTGACCCTCCCCCGTTCATGCTCTGTCTCTCTCTGTCTCAAAAATAAATAAACGTTAAAAAAAAAAATTTTTTTTTTAAAA